ACACAGAATGGAGTGTATTGAAAATCTGAAATAGCACAAAGTTTCCTGTAAGGGGTAGGTTTAGGTGTAGGGCAATGGCACATACAGTTTGTACAGTATAAAAACCATTACGCCTATGGAATGTCCCCACTTTTCACAAAAACAAACCTGTATGTGTGTGTGTGTGTTTGATTTCTGGTATATATGGTTTATGAGGACACAAATGTGTATATAATGACATGGGTACTACAACATAAGCATGGTTTATGTGGACACTTCCTGCGTACCCGTAAACCAAATGGCTTAAAAAAACACACTAAATGGTGTTTTTTTTTTATTCGTTTTCTGTAAGCGGTAGGTTTAGGTGTAGACTTAGGGTACGTGGATAGAAAATACAGTTTGTACAGTATAAAAAACATGACACTTATGGAGAGTCCCCGTAAACCACATATGCAAGAATGTGTGTGCATGTGGACACCAGTGCAGGTCTCTGGCTACAACTAACTAATTCGCAACAATATCACCAACATCAATGTCCAATATTATCAACAGCACCTTAAGGGTTCATTTCCAAATTTGTGGAACAGAGAAATGTATGTCATGATTCATGGCCCCAAAGGACCAAGAAAACAGCACTATAACAACAGTGATGGGAGGATGATGGGGGCAGGGAATTGGAGTAAAGGGGAGAGAAATGCACATGAAGTGCCTATAGCAGGCTGGAGAGAGCCCTTCATCACTGCAGGGATGGAGATGAGTGGACATCTGGTTGCTGCACTGTGATTGAGTGATGTTGGGTGTCAGTGTTGATGATAAAGAATTGGATAAACAATCTTGGATCTGTGGTTAGTTTTCCAGTGTAGGAATCTTACAGACGAATGGAAAGGCCTTATCACAATTGTTGTCGTTCCAAGACCTCAGTGCTGCAAAAGATGGAAAGATACAAACAGTTTCTTCATTTTGTCCTGTCTTAGTAATGTTACATAATTAGTGGGGCTGTCAATCAACTATATATATATCTCTTATTATTGGTTCCACAAAAATATTTAGCAGCACGACTGTTTTCATCATTGATAATAATAGGAAATGTTATTCGAGCACCAAATCAGCCTATTAGAATGATTTCTGAAGGATCATGTGACACTGAAGTAATGGCTGTGGAGTAATGGCTGAAAATACAGCTTTGCCATTACAGGATTAAATTACATTTGAAAAAAAATATATATATGTTATTTTAAAATATTTTTTGCAATATTACTGTTTTTGCTATATTGATCAAATACAAATTACAGCCTTGGTGAGCACAAAAGACTTCTTTCACACGCAATGACAAAGTTTTGAATGATTGTTTCATAATATGTACTAAATTAAGTAAATTAATTGCTGTTTTATGATTGAAACTATTGTGAACTCACCACTGTTTTGTCTGTACCAGATCTCCACACAGTCCTCCTCCTCAGGGATGCGATGGATGCCATCATCTGGTTGATTTCCATCCCAGTAACTGTATTCATAGAGTGACCCATCTGTCCACTCCAAAGTGCCCTCCTGTCGACAAACTATGATTAACAATGCTATCACATTTGCTTGCTCCTTGCCCTTTGACCCTGAAATGATAAGTAAAATCTTCCTGCAAGGCATGAGTTTACAGCTTTGGAGCTTTTTGGATCATTTGATCCAGGATCCCAGAGAAACTTTCAGTTTACAGATCTGAGGGTTTGTTACAACATCATCCATTAACTATCTACCTCAACCTGGTGCTAGAAGTGTTGGTTCACCGCTGTCTGGAAATGATTAAACGTCACTCAGAGAAACTATAATTTCCATTCATGGGATTATTAGTGGGAGGTTTTACATACTGGACTTGGCTTTTTACAACACAGACAAGCTATGTCAGTCATATAGCTGTTAATGTTTTTCATGCATGGGTAATAAAAATCATGACTGCTTCACATTGCATCCTAGTAAATAAAACATCAGTGAATCATTCACGCACTACATGCGTGTGAATATTTCGGCTTGCTCTTAATGTTACCATGTTTACCTGTCTTCTATCATGAAGGCCGATCCAGATATCTGTTGGAATTCCTGGTACACGGCTGTTCACAAGATCATAGACAAACACATTTTCCTCCCAGCTATGAAAAAAAGTTATGAGAAAGTATTTTTTTAATAGAAGCTCCAGCAAAATCCTGTACTGTAAGACAAATTGTGGCATCTCAGCACTGTCGGTGGGGAGTCATACCTGTGGATGGAGGTGAGTTTGGCAGATTTGTGTCCGTTTGAGAACTCGGCACAGTACAGATCTGCCTCAGCCCATGTGCGGTTCAAGGGGAAGAAGCGGTAACAGAAACCCTCAAATTCAGTCCAGAAGAGCGGACATGTCACAGGCTGCATTGAGTCTGACAGTTGCAGGGGCAGTGCTAGAGGAAACGGTAATGACAAATCCATTTTAAATTAACATTTCAGTACAGTATGAGCACATAATAGGTCAAACACTTACAAACACCAGAAAATTATATTATTACGTTATTTGAAACATCATCTGGAAAGTATCTAGCTGATTTCAAAATATATTGTCATTGTTTCCTTTTCACAGCACCAGCCTGCTTTCAATTTAGTTTGAGCTGTGCAAGAGCTATAGAGAAATTCTGTTACGCAACAAAAACAATTATAAGCTACACTATCCACCAAAAATTATAAATATTACAGTATTTTAATATTACATTACAATCATTTAAGTCAGCTAAATGTAAGGAAAAAATGTGTCCTAAATAAATAATAAATCAATTGTAAGGTTAAGGCATTTGTAGATATAACGCAGTTGAATTATTTAGTATAGTGGCTATTTTCCCAACGTATTATGTTACAAGAAAACTTTTCTTGCCTTCCAAATCTGACTTATACTTAACCTTTAAAGATGCTTTCATTGCTAGTCTGAGCTCTTGTAAATCAATAAAACATGGCAAGCATCGCATTGATGTCACATATCCTCATTCATCGAGAAAAATGGCTGCAAAATACAGGTTAAAACTATCCATTATAAACAGAAGCATCTATAACTTCGCAAAGCATCTCTTGTTTAGCTTGAGATTGTCTATTCGCCATGTAAAGAAGCAAATTAAAGCATATGTGTCTGCGCTGTATCCGGTGGAACTCACCTTGCGTGATCTTGATGTTAGTTGAAGGCAGAGCCCACACTGGGAAGCCGGTGATCAGTAGGGCTAAACACAATTCCCAACAGAGCATGTTTAGTTCAAGAGAGAGGAGATAGAGGGTGTGTGAGCCTCTCTCAGCCCCTGCCTTTTTGTTGGACTCTTCCTACTTGGTCAAGTCCAAAACACTGACATCAGGCTGTGTAAGAAAGGGAGAAAGAGAGAACCCAAGGGCCAAAAATTGATATTTTGTGTCATTAACCCAGTGTAATGCTCCCTGGGTGGACAATTTACTACATACACTATCCAATTTACTACATACACTAAGTCAGAGAGTTTTTATTAATAAATTAATATTTTTATTCAACAAGGATGCATTAAATAAATCAAAAGTGACACTAAAGACATTTATAATGTTATAAAAATGTCTGTTTCAAATAAATGCTTTTTTTTTTTTTTTTTTTGGAACTTTCTATAGCACCAAATCAATATGAATGATTTCTGAAGGATCATAAAGATTGGAGTAAATGCTGCTGAAAATTCAGCTTTGCCATCACAGGAATAAATTACATTTGAAAATATATTAAAATAGAAAACATTTACATTTACTGTTTTTTTTTTTTTGTTTTGTTAGTTTTTTTTACAAATGAATGCAGCCTTGGTAAATATCATATATTCATATCACAAATGGCAAAAAAAAAATGTATGTCCAAACACCTTATCTAACAATTTTGTTCTTAAAATATTAGAAGGAACTACAAATTCATATCTGTTGTTGATGGTGTCTAATGTAAAAAATTAAGTTATTTTATTATTCAAAATTACTGATTTTATTTCAGATTTAATTTAATTTACCTAAATGTAACTTAATTTGTTAAATAAAATCAATAAGGTAAGGCAAGGCAATTATATTTACTGGTGTTCTAAGTCAGTATTATGTTTGTTAGAGTATATTTAATTCCTATGACCTTATGCAATTTTAAATTTTACATGGTTTTTACATAATCAGGTGGACAGCATCTAATTCATATTGTTGCAGAAACATCAAACACAACTGACCTGTGATTCCTCATTAACCTCAGCAACCTGGAATGAGTAAAGATAAATGCTTCAGAAATACCAACATGTTTGCCTCTAGAATAAAGTAAGAAAATAACCACTAGTCAAATGGTTTACTTTCAAATCAATGGAAACATTTCATCTTGTAATAATTTATTGGAAATATCATGACATCCAGCTTGCCTGCAGAATTATTGAACACCCAATTCACACTACTTGCTTAGTTCCATTAGTCTCCCCAGACACTGTCTTGCATTTGATAGCATGTCTGCTTTATCTCATGGCCGACAGAGCCCATGCTATTAAAGGCCCAGAATTCCTCTTATCTTTGTGAGGGCTGCAGTCTATAACAGCTAAGGGCAAGAGCGTGGAGATATGACTCATTCTTATACTGAAGAAGGCCTCCATTTAAGATTTCCAGATGAGACTGAAGCTAAATATGGTCTCTAAAATGAGTCGTTTGGTATGTCCTGTTGCTGCATCCTGCCAGGTTTAGACAAATAATATCTAACATGCAAAACAGACAAGAAGGATATATCTTTAAATAACTTTTCAAGCTTTCAATTACATGCCTATTTCACTGTATAGTGGCCATGTACACACTGCACCAAAATTCGGTTGTCAATTCACCTTTTAGTCCGGTTCTGTACACACCCAGTTCAAGTGACAACCACATTCTACAACCGAACTGAATTCTACAAACCCAAACAACAAGCCCAAAGACGCTTAATAATAAGCAGACATGACAACACTTTGAGAGCGCATGCACTCTGAGAAGCAGCTGTCTAATCATAAATAACGGTGGCTTAGTTAAGAACGCCAAACATAAGTCTTTGGTTGCTGTAATTCTTCCGTACACACACAAAGCGATAATTTAGGGGATTCACTCTCGTATTTAAATACGATTGTCACTCCTGAAACTGTACAATGTGTATGTGGCCACATGACTGGCATTAGGGTTCTTCAAAATCGTCTTTATAAAACCACATTCCCTGGATCACCAAACTTTTGACCAAGCCAACAATGAGAATGTAGTTCAGACATTTCCATCATTGGGAGTACCCATGACCTGTTTGAGGAGCTAGCTAAAAATATCCTTTTTGAGTCTGGTATTGATTTTGAGTCAGTTCAAAGCTAGCTGATGTGCAGACATGTGATGACACATAGCACCCCATTTTATTGGTAGAATTAACAAAATTATGTTCTTGTTGTACATTTTACATTGAAAAGGGATGATTCATTCCAGAAAAAAAAATGTCTCTGGTTATCTTTTCTTACATTTTCCTACATTGCTTGTAATCCCTCAGGTGTAGTGCAGATGGTGGTGCACCATTAGCAACAGCTGTGACATTCAGTACTTCCTGTTGCAGGACAATCGAACAGCTGTACATATTGTTAATTATGAGAGCTGAGAGCTCTGCTGACCTCCAATGAGCAATTTCCATGAAATTGGAAATGCTTTCTGCTGTGCTTAGGGATTTTTTCCCCCCACAAAACACAAAAATGTGTCCAATAATGGTTTGCAATATAGTTATAGACTTAATTAACAGTCCTAGTTAACTCAAAGGGTGCAATAACACACTGTGAGCCAGATAATCTCCTTAAGTCACCAGCTGTCATCTCTGTGTACTGCTACAGTGTTTATTGTGCACATTGTTGCTTAGCAACTTCAGAACCATGTATTGAGGTGGGCAAGGGTGCCACAAAACGAGTGATATCACAGCAAGGCTTTGTGCAAGAGAATGTGCAGTTTTCAGTGGACCATATCTTTCTAATTACTGGAACAAGTGCAATGGCTTGAGTTTTATTGGATATTACTGCAAGACATGACAGAAAAGTAGGAGAAAACAAATATTGGGCTGAGGAATTCTGCTTTAGCTCCTTGCTACCATCTTGTGGCGTAATAAAGCAATGTGTGATTTCTGGAAAATAATAATAATAATAATAATAATAATAAATAAGCGAGTTTATGCTCAAAACAAGAAACAAAAACAAAAAAAATTTAATTCAAATGGTAAACAAGTTTAATTTGCTTACCCCAAATATATATTTTTCTCGATTTAAGCCTAAACTCACTTGATTTTGATCAATCAGAAAACAAGACTTAATATCAATAATATTCTCAAGTACATGTATCTTGGTTTAAGAATGTTTAGGGGTCAAAAGCGAAAAGGGGTTTAAAGAATCAACACAATAATAATAATAATAATAATAATATCAACACGAATTGGAGAAATTGTGTTGTGAGCATACCTACCAATAACAATGTACCAAAAATAAAACCAAACATAATGTGCCTCCCTGAATCTAATGGTGAATGGGAAACTTTAACAAGATGGGTTTAGTTAAACAGCACTGAAATGCTGGTTTTCTTTTTTCTGTGGTTGAAGCTCTTCTTCCTTTTTCTCCATTTCATACACATCTTGTTGTCACTAGGCAACCACACAGTGAATCGGGCTACCTCAACAGATGTTTCTATTTTCTGCTCAAGTGAAGTTTAGGTGAAATCACACATTCAAATAATTACTTTTTCCTGCTTAACCTACTCGTGCCACTTCACTTGCAGCTTCAAGTGAACGAACAACCTTGGAGTTATTTTAAGTAAGTCCACGTTTCTGCCATTGTGCGTGTAGGCACCATGGGAAATGTATTTGCTTCGGGATTTGCACTAATAACAATAGAGCTGCAGTTACTTCTATCCACCGACAGATGGAGAAGCCGCCGTGTGAACCGCGGTGACGGAAAGAGTCAAGAGTAGAGAAATAGATGGGAGGGTCAGGCCGCTGCCTCTCAGTTTCAAACACACAGTGCATTTCAACCCTGTGCATGGGCATTAACTGAACGGTGAAATTAGGGTTTGTTTGCGGACTCTTCCCGTTTTAGACGGGTCATGCTGTCTTCGCGAAGGTAATGAGCCGCAAAACCCTCGGGTCTCGGCTGAGCAGCGCCCACAAACTGCAGCGAAACTGGAATGACTGGCAGCCCAGGTCAGTAGCGCACCACGCGGCCGAGAACTCGCACTGCAGACCGAGGCTTCAGTGAGGCCTTGCTCTCGTTCGCCTCTTTATGAAACGCGGCAACGGTCTATCTCCACGTGAGGAGACTTTTCTAAGCATTCATCTCACACCACATCGCACGATAATGTCGCTGAGCTCTAGTCTGTGGGAATAACAACGCCGCACAGTTAACCCGACAGATGTCAAACGCTCTTGTTCATTTTTTCAGGTTGGTTAGCAGATGTTAGCATAAGCTAATGCACAAACAGTCGGCGTATACTGGCGATAATTATCATGTTTGTGTTTGTTCGCTAGCCTTGGTTTGTAGACTGAGCAAAAATGTGAGTGAAACAGCAGGGATTTGTGTGTTTTGACGGACACGCGGATGTATTCAGAGTGTCGTGGCGTTCATTTGTGGTTTGTGTGGAGAAACGCGTGTGGTCTGACACGTTTAGCCACAAGCTACATAAGGTTACTATTTTAACATTTGCACTGAAGTTAGTAAGTCGATTTATGTTGTAGTGTGTATACTGCAGACATACGGGATAATATTCGTCTCATACTGATTTAATGCATTTTTTTAACTCCTCCAGTGAAGCTCACATAAATCGCGACGCTCGTGTCAGTTTGCTAACCAGCTCCATTATTTTCGTTGTTACGTTTACCCCTGACTGGGAAGCGGATTCCTCGTGTCTAACCTTAAACGTTTATTTGTAGTTTTAAACCGCTTTAATTTTTACATTTTTGTAGTTTAAACCGGAGAAACCAGCTGAAGCATGGACTGAATGTCAAAGTCAGCCGAGTGTGCCTGTGTTTGTCTGGAAAGCTTAGGAATTGGCAACGAGTACATTGAACTTCAAGCGTGAAAACTGGTTAATTGTTTGAATTCAATCTTCAACTTGCCTGCTAATTATGTCCAATCAGTAACTTTGAAACTTGATGTATTTATTTAGGATGACCATTCACAGTTTTCAGATGAGTTTCATTATTTGAAACCATGTGGAAAAACGAAATCTCAGCTGGACTGTCAAATGACGTTTTGTCCATAAGTCCCGGATGCAGATGCAATTTTATGAATAGCCAGGGAAGATTCATGAATTGTGCGTCTTTATCGAATTAATGGTTCAAATTGTGAGTTCTGTTGCTAGTACTTTCTGACTCGTTAGGAAAGTTTGCAATTAAATGTTTGACAGGTGATATAAATAATCAACCTTATATTTCTATGAAATGGTGGAATTCAAAATGTTGGGTTATTAAAGTTATAGTTCACTCAAAAAAACAAAACAAAAAAAAGGAAGTTTGTCATCTCATTCAGTCAGTTCACATCATGTTCCAAACTTGTATGACTTTCTTTCTTCACTGGAACACAAAATATAATTTTTTGAAAAATAAATAGCCACATTTTTTCCAACATAATGAAAGTTAATGATAATTGATGTCAGGTTCCAAATTGAGGGGAAAAAATAGTTTGATTTCATTGATATCTGAGTTCATTGATCTTATCAGTGAATTCACTGATTCACTTCATTGGTCTGAATGATACAGTTTCAAAGTGGACTGATCCAATTTATCATTTGGTGTTCCATAGAAGAAAAGCTTATAGATTTGGCATGACATGGTGGTGAGTGTCAGTTTTTGGGTAACATAATTTGACAGATACCTGTTGATTTATTCCACTGGCAACAATTAAAGTTTGTATAGATCTAACTCAACAGTTGCATTTGTTCAGTAGCAATGTGTTCTTATGTAAATGTTCCTTTTGTACATGAGCAATGGATATGTATACTATCCTTCGAAAGTTTGAGGTCAGTAAGATTTTTTTTTAAAAATACTTTTTACCAAAAAGCATTAAATTGATCAAAAGTGGCAGGGAAGACATTATAAATTTTTTTTTTTTTTTCTTCAAATCAGCGTATCATCATGTGACACTGAAGACTGGCTGCTGAAAATTCAGCTTTGCCACACAGTAATTACTTTTAAATATATATTCAAATTTTAAAAAATCTTTTAAATGTTAGTTATTTCACAATCTTATTGTTTTTACTGTATGTTTGATCAAATAAATGTAGCCTTGCTGAGCAGAAGAGACTTCTTTCAAAAACATTTAAAAATCTTACTGATAATGACTTTTGAAAGGATGTGTAAACAAATTGTTGTATTTTATACATATGATGTAATGAATGAGTAAAGACCAACCCATTTTTCTCCAGTTGCACAATAAGTGGTCACCTGTTGTTAAGCTTTAGCATGCTGACTTCAACGTGATCATGGGCAGTTAAGTTGGTGTAGTCACTGATGGTATATTGAATGTTTTTTAGAGGCGACAGTCTGTCAGCCAGCCAGGACGGTGTGAAGAGCAGTGTCTCTAGAGACCGCGGTTCAGAAGTTCTTTTCGATATTCTGCCCTCTGACCAGCCTGGCACTCCACCACTGCACAATGATGCCTTCACTGCTGCAGATGTACTCGAAGAAGGAGGTGTGTGCTTCATGTGGCCCTTTGTTTAGCCTGGCTTTAATCAGCTGGATTTTAATCACAGTGTTTTTCACCTTCATTACTGTGGTTTTCAACGTCAATAGCATGTGTCTTTCTGCTGGTCCGGTATCTGAGGGTTGGATGATTGTTTGATTTCTCTCTTGTGTGTCACCCTGGTTAAGGTTTCTGTTTAGAGAAAGAGAAAGTAACGTCAGCAAGGGTTTTTCTTTTTTTTGTAATGTCCCAGAGGTTCCTTGTGCAAATAAATCAATTTTTATTTTTATAAAATAACTAAAATAATAGTGATGTGTATATATTGTGAAATAAGATTTTGGTTATATCACCTACCTAGATTATACCATGTAAATTTATTTTTGCCCTGCTTATAAAGCATAGTACCTACTTTGGTGGTACAATGTTCTAACATGTAATTTATGCTTTTTAATGTCTTATGTGGTGTTTTTTCATGAATTTCAGATTTACAAATGTTATTCCTTTAGGGAAGGTACTGAAGGTGTTCTTGCTTTCTAGGTGGATATGATGCTGATGGAGGCCTCTCTGAAAATACTTATGGTCGGAAGTCGCTGGGGCAAGAGTTGAGAACCAATGATGTGACTACTGATATAACCACTTTTCAGCATGGAAACCGTGCTTTAGCTGCAAAGGACATGAGGAAATCACAGGGTGCATTCACCTTTCAGTGCTCATATGTTGCTTGTTTGGATTGAATTACCTTGGAGCTTAAGTGGGGCTGTTGCATTCATTTATTTACTAGCATCAGCAACAGCATTCTTTTTTTATATCCCAGACCGACCGTTGGCTCACTCTGAGGAATCTCGTCTGGTCAATCTTCTGCGGAGAGCATCACGGGAAGATGACCGGGAACGCAGACTGGCCACTGTAAAACAAATGAGGGAGTTCATTGTGCACTCTGAAAATAAAGTGGTACGGTCTGACATGCACAAATGGATTTTTATGTGTCTCTAGAGTTAAACTGTTTTTAATCTGTATTGTTTGTATTCATACATTACAGGTCCTAGTGAAACAGTTGGATTCCATTTTGAGCACCCTGAATGACATTTCATAGTACCTACTTTGGTGGTACAATGTTCTAACATGTAATTTATGCTTTTTAATGTCTTATGTGGTGTTTTTTCATGAATTTCAGATTTACAAATGTTATTCCTTTAGGGAAGGAACTGAAGGTGTTCTTGCTTTCTAGGTGGATATGATGCTGATGGAGGCCTCTCTGAAAATACTTATGGTCGGAAGTCGCTGGGGCAAGAGTTGAGAACCAATGATGTGACTACTGATATAACCACTTTTCAGCATGGAAACCGTGCTTTAGCTGCAAAGGACATGAGGAAATCACAGGGTGCATTCACCTTTCAGTGCTCATATGTTGCTTGTTTGGATTGAATTACCTTGGAGCTTAAGTGGGGCTGTTGCATTCATTTATTTACTAGCATCACTTTCTTTTTTATATCCCAGACCGACCGTTGGCTCACTCTGAGGAATCTCGTCTGGTCAATCTTCTGCGGAGAGCATCACGGGAAGATGACCGGGAACGCAGACTGGCCACTGTAAAACAAATGAGGGAGTTCATTGTGCACTCTGAAAATAAAGTGGTACGGTCTGACATGCACAAATGGATTTTTATGTGTCTCTAGAGTTAAACTGTTTTTAATCTGTATTGTTTGTATTCATACATTACAGGTCCTAGTGAAACAGTTGGATTCCATTTTGAGCACCCTGAATGACATTTTGAACGAGAGGTATGACTGCACAGCCTATTTTTAACACAATGGGGAGTTATCAGAATTCACTCCATTGAGGGTATATTTAGCACTTCACTGTTCACGAAATGTTACGAATACCTCGCTGAATCCTACTCATAAACAATTTAACCGGCCATTATTACATTTTGCCATACCTGAGATAAGTTAGCCTTCCAGTCTGGGAATTACATGCTAAGTACATGAAAGGGACTGGGTGTTAGACACCCCACTCCACAGGAAGTGCCAATCAACGGCAAGGTCTTTTTATATGCTTTTGTAAAGTTATGATTACAAAATCTTTCTGTCTCCCTATTCTTGTATTTTGAGTGTGATTCATTGGCCAAAAGAGGAGAAAACCCACAATAAGCAAAGTTAAATATGAAATTGAATGTGGCTTTTTCTAAATTTCTATAGATATTGCAATAATGCATAGGCCCTGTCCCAAATGGCACCCTAAGCCTTTGCGGTCTTCCTCCAGGTCCACACTTTTGTGACATAATGCCATGTAATAATTTTCAGGTCAAAATTTGGGCTCAGCTCAGTTTGGGCTCTGCAGTTGTGCGCATCGAGGGTGCATAGTGGTCGCAAAGGGGGCGCTCCCAAGCTCACCTCTGAAACCTAAAATAATTATTGAGACACCCTACAGTCTTAATTAGAGGTCGACCAATGTATCGGTTTTGCCGATTAATCGGCAATGATAGTTGATTGCTGGAATTATTGGCTATTGGCAAAAATCCATGCCGATAGTTTTTCGGGGTTACATATGTTGGAGTGGCTGAGAAGGCTCCCTGCCATTATACAGCATGAGAGCGGCCTCTAGAGGTGAAATCACTGATGCCACTACACATTGTCAAAGCAGACAATGAAACCGTGTGTACACAGTACACTGTAGTGCATGTTTTCATATCATTGCTAAGTAATCAATTTGTTGACTAGATGCTGCATTAATGACTACACAACAGCAGTATGTTTGTTCTCAAGACTGAGAGGACGTGAACATTAGCACCTCAAATGGTAAAAACAATGTGACCAAAACACACGCAAGTATAGAGAGCTATAATATAGATTAGGGCTTTCGCGATTCGTCGATTTTATTAGACTTTTCGATTTTTTAAAATCCTCGACTTCATAGTAGACTAGAACACGTGGATATGTTGTCATTCTTACACTATAATACTGAACTTTGATTTCAGTGATTTGGACTATGGGATGGACACTTGCTTCTTGCACTCTGTTGCACTTTAAAAAAGGATTTCATAGAAATTTGGATTTCATTTGGTTTAATAAAATAGTTTAATAAAATATTCTTAAGTAAAATTGTTGATTTTTTGTGGGAAATTAATCGTTTACATTAATCGATAAATTAGTCGATAGATTAATCGAAATAAAAATAGTCATTAGTGGCAGCCCTAATATAGATCTCACTTTTTCTTTCCATTTTGCTCTGTTTTTTTTAAACACCGAACTTCAAACTCATCAATGCCACTTTTTTTTTTATCTTTCTTGAAGTGAACTTTTGCCTGTGTCATGATTAAATAAACTGTTTTAGACCACCGCTTGAACAAAACACGATGTGTCCGGTGTGTGTGATATCTGATACCTGTGAGTACTAGATGCAGCGCTATGCTTTTTGCCCAGTGTGCGACTGCCATATTTTGTTATTTTGATTAGAAAATCGTCATGTGTTCTAGAATAGAAGCAATTAAAGTGTGAGAGTATACATACAATATCCATATGTAAGTAATTTCAACGCTATCGCATTTGTGTAGATATTTAAAGATGACCATCTAGTTGGAGTGTGTTAATTTCAATGTCTACTAATACATTTTAAAATTTTGAAGTTGCTTCTGTAAACATTAGTTAACAAACTGTGAACTAGCTTTAATGATCAATATATAATTGTTTAATTTTTTTTTTTTTTTAATTCATTTACGAAGTATGGTTCAGTACATTATTTATTAATTTATTTATTAATAGTAAAGCACTATTTTAGTTTTCGTTCAGTATCCATTTTAAAAACTATCGTTTGATTAATCAGTATCGGCCAGTGTGGTCCAACCTAGCTATCGGTATTGGTAAAATCCACTATTGGTTGACCTCTAGTCTTAAAGGGATAAGCATCCCTCATGCCATCCTAGGCGTATATGACTTTCACTTTCAGACGAATACAATTGGAGTTATATTAAATAATGTCCAGGCTAATCCATGCTTTATAATGGAAGTGGATGGTAGGCCAAAATTTGAAGTCCAAAAAATTGCACCTATTCATCATAAAAAGTACACCACACGGCTCGACTGTCGTATGCGCGTTCACGAGAGAGTTGCGTCCCAGTTTAGCAGAAGCTAGAGATTACTTTTTATAAAGTTTTAAATATGGATATTTTTCTTACACAAACACATCACTTTGCTTCAGAAGGCCTTTATTAACCCCCCGGAGCCGTGTGGTGTACTTTTTATGATGGATGGGTGCAATTTTTGGACTTCAAATTTTGGGCTACCATCCACTCCCATTATAAAGCATAGATTAGCCTAGATATTATTTAATATAACTCCGATTGTATTCGTCTGAAAGAAGAATGTCATATACACCTTGGATAGCTTGAGGGTCAGTAAATCATGGGGTGATTTTCATTTTTGGGTGAACTATCCCTTTAATGGATGTGCACACGGGGATCATTGTAAGGCAAAGTTTAATTAAGCTTAACACTGATTAATCTATATATTTAATTTATACAGTGAATAATATGCAATGTTATTTTACATTTAAGTATTCAATTTCTATACTTCAACATCTACAAATCTAAAGCATCTTTAATTTGTGTCATTGTTCTATTTATTTATTTGTGCTATTGCTTGTAATTTGTTCATTTGCTCTTATTCACTGACTGTTCACTTGTCTTTAATAATGTTTGAACTTTATATTTGTTAGGCTAGTTTTTGCTGTGGTATTGAAATTAGAATGGAGAATTGTAAAATGTAACTGGTATCTAAAATATTGGTGTCACATAAGCTTCTTTATTAGAATATAAGATAACATGGGTCAAAAGCAATGATAACAACAACAATTAATTAATTTTTCTGACAGGGCAAGTAAAAACATTTAACCACTGTCCCAGTCGGGCCAGTAGAAATTTTTTTTAGCATTGAGCCTTAAATTAAGCAGGATAGTGTACAGTCAGCTGGTCATTATTGCAAAATAAACCCATGCAATACCTGATCACACGGTTCTGTGGTTTTCTGTTTGGCCTTACAGTAGTAAGCTTCTGCAGGAGCTTAGGCAGGAGGCCGCGTGCTGCCTGGGAGTGCTCTGTGCCACCCTCAGTTATGAAGCCGAGAGGATCTTTAAGTGGATGTTCCTCAAGCTCAGTGTGTCCACAAAGGATGAGGTGAAGCATCTGTACCTGGTGGCAGTGCACAAGGCACTTGAAACAGCAGGGGAGAAGGCTTTTTCGACTGTAATGCAGGTATTTATTCAGTTCCATTGCTAAATCTTGGATTACCATTCTGTATAATCTTTTTCTGTGGCTGAAATGTTTTACTGTTTTGTCATTCAGTTGGTGATGAGCAGCCTTCAGTCTATATTAGAGAACTTGGACACACCAGAGCTGTTGTGCCAAAGTGTGAAATGTATTTTGCTGGTGGCCCGTTGTTATCCACACATATTCAGCACCAATTTCAGAGTAAGCGGCACAAGCAGTCTTAAATTTAAAATCTGGATGTCTGAAAGGAAAGAATTTGTAGATGAACTGCTGTTTTCGTTTTACAGGACACAGTGGATATCTTAGTAGGTTGGCATATAGACCACACACAGAAACAGTCTCTTACTCAACAAGTGTCTGGTAAGATTTGTTTTATATTGAGTTTTTTTGGGAAATAACCTGTCTAACCTGTCTCAATCTATCTTTCTAGGCTGGTTACAGAGTCTGGAGCAGTTTTGGGTGGCAGATTTAAGCTTTTCAACTACATTATTGGGTCAATTTTTGGAAGATATGGAGGCGTATGCTGAGGTAACGTGAATTGTTTTCTCATTGTCCCTTAATTATGAGATTTCTGAGGTTCTAATACTCTTTCCTTTTATAGGATTTGAGTCCTGTTGTATCTGGGGAATCAGGAGACGAGGACATTCCCCCTCCCACGGTATCCCTGCCAAAACTGGCAGCCCTGTTGAGAGTTTTTAGCACTGTTGTGCACAGCATCGGAGAACGGTTCAACCCTATCAGAGGGCCTCCAATCACAGAAGCATATGTCACTGATGTTAGTTTCCAACACGCATGGCCTCTGCTTCAGTTATCTGTGTTACTGCAATACAAATAGATAATCTAAGTTAAACTGATGTTCAATTATAGATCGACTAACACTTCTGAACAAGCTGAGAATACACACGCAGTCCTTTACTGATCTGACATAAATTGTTTACATTTTCTCACTCACAGGTTTTGAATCGTGTTTTGGCCTGTGTCACCACAGCCAAGCAGGTGTTCTTCTCGGAGGCAGTGCTGACAGCAGGAAATGAGTGTGTGTGTGTCCTACTGGTGAGCATGGACTTGGCCAGCCAGCTGCAGATTGATGCTGTAATCTCTTATGGCCTAGACCAGCTGGACAGCTGTCAGTGCTGCGGACCAGAATACAGCATGTCCGTCCTCACCCTGCTTACTCTGGTAGGACTTGACTTGATTAATCCAATAAATGACAGACTGGAGTACAATTTAAGGGATTTACGTAAATGACTGGTCACACTTTGGCCTTGTTACTATTATGGTTTGATTGAAAATCTTTTTCACACTTTTAGTCATTTTTTATTTGTTGATTGTAGATTGTTGATCAGATAAACACCAAAATCCCTGCTGCCTTTGTGGAGAAGTTGCTGGCCCCAAATTCTCATCTCTTGGAGCTGCGCTTTCACAGAGAAATAAAGGTACAATCATTAACCTCAGTTGTTATAAATTCAACACACAACAGCTATGAGTTAACGCATTTTTGTTTGTCACAGGTGATGACAGCCGCACATGGAGTGTATCATGCTGTGCTGAGCCTAAAGAACATCCCTACACTGGAGGCAGCTTATAAACTGGTCTTGGGCGAGATGGGTTGTGCGCTGAACAGTTTGCTGAGCCCTCTGGGTTTGCCTGCTGCCTGTCCTAACATACAACATCCTGCCTTCAGCCAGCTGCAGTTCAGCCCAGAGAGAGCAGAGTTTATCCTTATCTTCAACCTCAGTGCTCTCACCACCATTGGCAACACCAAGAACTCCCTTATCGGGGTCAGCATGAAGTCATACCTAGTTCTGTGAAAGCGTGTTTTTTTTTTTGTTTGTTTTTTTTTTGTTTGTTTTTTTTAGTCATACAGGAAAATGTGTAAAACAGGGTTTCCACGTGTCCTTAAGTCTTAAGCCCCGTTCACACTGCCAGCGACTTTTTCGCTGTATGTCGCTAGACTCTTGTGAAGATGCTTGTGGGCGTTCCTACTGCTGTAGCTCTAATGTCAGGGTGCGAACTACGGGGGAGCTAGGGGGAGCTCGGCTCCCCTTAATAAGACATGGGCTCCCCTGAAAACGTGATTTGTGAAATTTTGGGGGGTCTCAAAAAAATATTGACAAGGTGTTATTTTGACATGCAATTTCAGTTTTGTGTAATGTGATCATAGTGGATTATTATGTGTACAGTTTCTTTTCTACGCGTCATTTTTTTATATCCATGTATGTGGTTACAGTAAAATCATATAAAACAGTGAAATCGCTCAGGAAATCTGTCCTGTCTTGCCTGCACTCGAGACGGTGACGTGTGAGCGCCACTGACAGATTCTTCACTCCTATTGGTTGTCGCTCGCGAAATTCGCTGTTCATTTGCATAAAGTTAAACATTTCTTAACTTTTGTTGCTTGACTCGCATCGCTTGACACGCCCACATTCTGTCGCCAACGGTCACTGTCGCTCGTGTCGCCGGAAGTAGCCAGCTCTCCATTGAAAATTAATGGGAGCTTGTCGCTGTGTGTCGCTGGCAGTGTGAACGGGGCTTTACATTTTAGTTGTCAAATTTAAGATCATCATTGCGATAAGGTTTAATGTGATGATTAAACTTCAAAAGGCTAAACATGAGAGCTGCTTTCTTTGTGTACAGCCGTTACCTGGGAAACTGCTGTATTTCTGCCTTTCCGAAAGTGCCACCTGCTGGCAGAGAATGAATTTGCATTTTCAATATGCCTATCTGCTGTCTTATTTAATTAATATAATATTTGATTGATAATAATTAAGTTAATATAATAATTGATACTTTGATCCATTTTCTTAGAAATGGTTTAAAGGCAGAAATGTGAAAAACTTTGTGAACCTGTATCTGACCTGTAAATCACACTTTTTACAGTCATTTTACGGTTTAATTTGTTACCATAGACATAGCCCTACCCTGCTCATATGGTATTCATTTTGTGCATGTCTTAAAAAGTCTTAAATTTGAGCTTGCAGATTCTGCAGACGCCCTGGTGAAAGAGAAGAGCGTAATAACACATATTTTCTGTGTTACAGATGTGGGCTTTGTCCCCTACTGTGTTTGCCCTGCTGAGTCAGAATCTGGTTGTAGTTCACTCTGATTTAGCAGTTCATCACCCTGCCGTCCAGTATGCAGTGCTCTACACACTCTACTCTCACTGCACCAGGTAACAATGCAACATTTACTTGTCTAGATGAGGATTCTTCAAAAATGCACAGGGTTTCCATTTTTTAAAGAAGCATAATTGTACACTATGAATCTTCTTGGGGTCAGTAAGATTTTTTAAAAAGAAATGAACACTAGTTATTCAGCAAGGATGCATTAAATTGGTCAGTAATGTTACAAATTTTCTATTTCAAAGAAATTCTGTACTTTTGAAGTTTGTTCATCAAAGAATCCTAATAAAACTGTAGCACTGTTTCCACAAATATAAGCAGAAAATCTGTTGGACATTGGTAATAAGAAACGCTTCTTGAGGACCAAATCGTATCAGAATAATTTCTGAAGGATTATGTGACCATTTCAAATTGCCTTACAATAGAAAAATATATTATATTGAAATAAAATGTAAAAAAATAAAATGTTTCAAAAATTGTAGTATTTCACAATATTATTTATTTGCTGTATTTTTGATCAAATAAATGCAACTTTAGTGAGCATAAGACACAACTCTGATTCATTAGTAAATTTGTCTGAATTTAAATGTTTTTTTTTTTTTTTTTAAACCTTAATTAAAATCACAAATGTATTGGACAAAAAGTGTGAGAAATTAAATGCAGAACAACACTGAAGTGTTTAGCAAGTAGCAGTGTGGTTTCATGAATTATGTAGTGCTATATGGTTTTATCATAGATTCTATTTTTTTTTTCAGTGTACATAAAACTGTCAAAAAACACTGTCATTCACTTGATTTTAGCCTCACTCACTCCAGGCGTGATAACTGATAGACTGCTGCTTTTCTCTCTTTATTTCTCCCAAGACATGATCACTTTATCTCAAGCAGCCTGAGCTCTTCGTCTCCATCCCTTTTCGACGGTGCTGTCATCAGCACAGTTACCACGGCAACCAAAAGGCATTTCAGCACACTCCTTAATTTGCTGGGTATGCTGCTCAGCAAGGATCATCTCAACCCTGAGGCGAGGTACAGAGCTCACACTGCCTGTCTATAATGAGGCCTGTTGTGATTAATTAATCTGAACCACTTGCTCTTTCAGCTGCTATAATCACTTATACATTGATGAGTGTAATTACACCTTTCTTTTTAATTCCTTACTTGTATGCATATGGCAACAGTTCAGCATTTAGTTTAGAATTTTAGGAAATTAGTGAGTATACAGTGGTGTCCAAAAATGCTAAACAGAAGGGTTTTCAATATTCAAATTCAAAGCCATAATAATTTCAAGTAAAAGTTGAACTGAGAACCTTTACATGAATTGGAAAATTGGTTCTTATTTGGGATTTCTTGCATAATTAAAAATGTAATTTAGCTTATTTCTAGTTTTACACAATATCATATATATATATATATATATATATATATATAATAAAAAATG